GAATAGAATAGAATAGAATAGAATAGAATAGAATAGAATAGAATAGAGTTGGAAGGGACCTTGGAGGTCTTCTAGTCCAACCTCCTGCTTAGGAAGGAAACCCTACACCACTTCAGTCAAATGGTTATCCAACCTCTTCTTAAAAACTTCCAGTGTTGGAGCATTCACAACTTCTGGAGGCAAGTTGTTCCACTGATTAATTGTTCTAATGGTCAAGAAATTTCTCCTTAGTTCTAAATCGCTTCTCTCCTGGATTAATTTCCCCCCATTGCTTCTTGTCCTGCCCTCAGGTGCTTTGGAGAATAGCTTGACTCCCTCTTCTTTGTGGCAGCCCCTGAGATATTGGAACTATCATGTCACCGCAGTCCTTCTTTTCATCAGACTAGACACCAGTTCCAGCAACTGTTCTTTATATGTTTTAGCCTCCAATCCTCTAATCCAGTCCCCTAAAATGACTTATGACCAACCCTGGCACTTGCAACCACTGCAGCATCCCTACAGCCATGTGATCAACATTTGGGATCTTGGCAACCAGCATGATTCACAATGACAATGTCCTAGGGTCACGTGATCACCGTTTGTGTTTTTTTTCCCAGCTGATTTTCATCAAGCAAAGTCAGCAGGGGAATCTGGATTCAGTTAACAGTTGCCTGATTCCGTTTTAACAGCTCCTGTGGTTTGCTTAACGACATGGCAAAATAGTAAAACTGGGCACGGCTCACTTAATAATCCCTTCCTTAGCACTGGAAATTTTGGTCCCAGTTGTAGTTGTAACTCAAGGACTACCTGTATTTGTTATTTCAGATGGGTCTCACGTAGGCATGATTAAAAAATGAAGAGAGGCACAAATTTGGTCATCACAGAACTGTAGAATTGGAGGAGATGATCTGCAAGGGTGAGAAAACCAAGGTTTTTGAAAGGTGGCTGTCTAACCGCTTCTAAAAAAATCTCCTTTCAGAACACAAGCTCCTTCATTGCATCATCTCAGTTGCACCACCCCCAGAAAACTTCCAACCAAACCTGGGAGACAACCTACAGAGCCAGCTACGACCCCTAAAACAGCCAATAGAATACATCAGGCGTTTTCAAACTTCACAGCTTTGAGACTTGTGGACTTCAACTCCCAGAATTCCTCCTCCTCCAGTCATGTTAGCTCAGGAATTCTGGGAGTTGAAGTCCACAAGTCTTAAACTTGCCAAGTTTGAAGAGGCTTGGAATACATGTTCTTGAACAGGAACAGGAAGCTCAAGCTCAAAGCCCAAGAGAAGGTATAAAAACCCCTCACTATCAACTCCCATGTGGTCAGCTGCTCAGGACCATCCATATGGTTCTGCTTCGCCATTTTTCCAACCAGCCTCCATTTTGTCTGGGGTGCCTTTTTCCCGGCTTGGAACTGGACCTGGATATTTCTTCCAACAAAACAATTGTCTTTTCTCCAGACTGAACATCTCTCATTCTTTCAGTCAATCCTCTTCCACTGCTCTGCTATGGATTCTCCCTTCCAATAATGCAGAAGGCAGAGCATTCAGTCTGGCCAATGAAAAAGCTCCCCGGTGAAGAAACCACACAGTATTGATTAGCTAATTTAGCAAGTATAAAAGAACTTCTGAACTAGCCTAGCACTGAGGCTAAATCCATCAAGGATGTCGGCGGGGCATGGGCAGAAAAAGTTAAAACAACTAACCACAACAGTGCAATCCAATTTCTGCCTGTTTTTATGCACGGAGCTTTGATCAGACCGTTGTGGTTGTCATCCTGATCTTTCTGAGCATACTCTGCAGATACCCTGGTCCGTGATTCCTTTAATTAAGGATTAGCATCTCCTGCAAGTACAGTTACAGATACATGGACAGATCATGAAAGAGAATGCTGACGGAGCTGTAAAACAGTCTGTTGATATTTATTTACATTTTGGCAGGGAACCCTGTCTGGGGAGGATTATGACTCTGCTCTGAGCAAGCTATCTTAGAAAGAGCTCTGAGGCATTGCTTTCTGCTCAGAGAGAGATAAACAGACTTCCTTCTTCCTAGAAGGCCTAGGAGGGGGAACACCCATCCAACTGGTGCCTGGATCTTGCGTGCAGCTTATCAGCCTCCCAGGGTTGACTGAAAATGTCTCTTCTTGAAAACTAATAATAAACATTAAGAATCCAGGGAGATGCTCTTTATTTAAAATTTGGGTTGATATTTAGAGTAGTCTTTGGGTTACAATGGCAATGGAGAGCAGGATTCCTATCGCTAAGCGATGTGGTCATTAAAATGCAACATCTCGTTGACTGCACCACTTAGCAACAGCCATTGCAGCACTTCCAAAGTGACATCATAACCCCAAGATGGGCCGGTTCTTAAGCAGCAAGTGGCAGGAGTTCTGTGTTAAGGAGTGCAGGGTTGCCGCAGAGGGTGTGGGGAAAGCCGCGGGCAGGATTGGCACAGGTCATGCATGAGCACAAGGCGGCTGATTGGGAGACTGATTGGAGCGACCTGCAACTTTTCCTGAAAGCTTCCCCATGGACTTCACTTGCGGGAAGCTGGTAGGGAAGGTGGCAAATTGCAATCACCCTGGAATGGAATGGAATGGAATGGAATAGAATAGAACAGAACAGAACAACAAAACAGAACAGAACAGAGCCGAGCAGAGCAGAGCAGAGCAGAGCAGAGCAGAACAGAACAGAATAGAATAGAATAGAATAGAATGAGAGGGGAGGAGAGAGGAGGGGAGAGAACGGAATGGAGAGAACAGAACAGAGTAACAGGGTTGGAAGGAACCTTGGAGATCGTCTAGTCCAACCCGGGCAGGAAACCCTACAGCATTTCAGACAAATGGTTATCCAATCTTACAGAGGTGTTGCAACAGTTAGAACTTCAAAAACTGGTTGTAGGAACCACTCATTCAGTGCTGTTGCAACTTAAAATGGTTGCTGAATGAATGGTTGGTAAGTGAGAGAATTACCTGTTGACATGCAGGGGTTAATTTAAGTCAAAAGTTACTTCAAGTAAAAGAGTGGATTTATATATTAAGCTTGCCAAATGGGTGGTTTGGGTTGGTGTAGAGTAGTATATAATAATGTCACCTTTTGTGTGTGTGTGTGTGTGTGTGTGTGTGTGTGTGTGTGTGTGTGTGTGCAAGCAACCAGATCCACCTATATTCTACCTATATTACTAGAATCTCTCCAGTCAGCTTCCCTTCCCTTGGGAACAAACAGATAAGGTCTCATGGAACCTGGAGGTCCAAAATGTAGAGGAGTAACCAAGATGTGCAAATCTACTTATTAAGATAGAGGAACAGGTGAAAAGAGGATAAATTTCAATATAATATATTGGTATCAGCATTTTCCAGAGGCATTTTTTTCGAAATACTTATTCTAATCCCTGGTTGATAGAAGGATAGATGATAGAACAGCCCAGTCTTTGCCAGGGTAAATTCCAGGCTTAACAACACAGTCAATCCTCCATGTCCGTCATAAATTATAAGCCACTTGCACCTGCTATTTCTCTTCAAACAACATTGCAAAGGGAGATTGGGTTACAAAGCTCCTTGAATTCTGCCACTTACTCTGACTGATAGATCAGGTGTTCAGCATAGATTTTTAAAAAAGAGAAGTACCCAAACATGGGTCAATAATACTAGCACTTCCAGATCTGGGCTGCAAAACATCCAGGTGTCCATTAGATGGCAGTAAAGACACACAGGAAAACTTAAATCTTTGCTGCCATCTAGTGGACCTGATGTCAGGCTCCAAAAACCAAGAAAGTCGCTGAATTTCTTCTGAGCTGTTTCCTTTATTGTTCCTCACCAATAGGTAGAAATCTTGCTAAGCTAAAGCAAACTAATTGCATCATTAAAGATATACTCTGAGAAACTTGAGGAAGGAGCTGTCTTGACCCTCTTCCTCCCAACCAAGCTGTCTAAACTTTGCTGTCTCTTGTTCCTCTGGAATGCAGCCTCTCCCTCTTGGGAATCCATCATTCCCAACATCCCATTACACCTATAGCCTTCTACAATTCAATCAATCAATCAATCAATCAAGAATAGAGCTGGAAGACATAAACAACAAGCCATCTTCCATAGGTATACACCTCCAGTGATGGAGCACCCACAACTTCTGGTGACAAGCAGTTCCACTGGCTTATTCAAAACTGTCAGCTTTAACCCTGGTAGTTTGCTCATGGTATTCCAGAGATACAGGGAAAATTGCTAGAGAGAAGTGCTATGATAAGCAGAAGCAAGCCACAGGCTTTATAAAGTTACATATTTCTGGACTATATGGACTCCATTCCTTATCAAATCAGACACTCCCTTTAAGTCTATGTCTTTGGAGAAGTTGCAAGGAATGGCACATTGTAAACATTGGTTTGATTTGTTTGAGAAGATACATCTGCTTGGCTTTAGCATTCTCCACAGGCATGGTGCATAATGCAAGGCCTTATCAGAATAACAGTTGGAAGGGACCTTGGAAGCCTTCTACTCCAAGGGTCTCCAACCTTGGCAACTTTAAGACTTGTGGACTTCAACTCAGGGGTGGGATTCAAATTGTTTAACAACCGGTTCTGTGGGCGTGGCTTAGTTGGTGGGCGTGGCCAACTCAATATCACTCACATCGAGGCACACATCTCCTCGCCTGGCGTCTCATGATTGTGGGGATGCTGCAGCAGTTGTAAAGTGTGAAAAACGGTCATAAGTCACTTTTTTCAGTGCCACTGTAACTTTGAATGGTCACTCCACACAAGCAAAGTACCAGCAAAGGAGGGGAAAAAACCTCCAGAGAAGCTCCTGAGACAGGAAGTCTAGTCCTGCCAAGAATGTAATAAGGGTTAACGGAGAGGCAGTTTCTGTAAGCAACACCAGAATGTTCCTTCCTGCCTTCCTTACAGGATTAGGCCAGTAATTTCTTCTAACAACCGGTTCTCCAAACTGCTTAGAATGTTAACAACTGATTCTAGCGAATAGGTGCGAACTGGTAGAATCCCACCCCTGTTTCAACTCCCAGAGGGAATTGAAGTCAAACAAGTCTTAAAGTTGCCGAGGTTGGAGACCTCTGTTCTAGTCCAACCCCCTGCTAGTGCGGTCATCTGGATGAAAGAGACCGCTGAAAACTGGAAGCAGTGATAGCACCTTTGTCAACTAACAACTTTGATTAAGAGGCTGCAGCTCACAAAAACTATTATTTGTCGAAGAAAGTATTTCCAGACTTGCTGCTATAGACTAGCAATGGCTCTCCTCCCATGATGCTGAAAACTGGAGCTCGGTTGGGTTTGAGAGTTTAACCATTTCCCCCTCTTGTGGTTTACCAGGTACCCTCTTTCTCTGGGTCTTCTGGCCCAGCTTCAATTCTGTCCTGATCCCGGAAGAAGACAAAAAATGGACTGCCGTCTACAACACCTACTTTGTCATGGCCACCAGCACCATTGCCGCTTTTTCTTTCTCAATGGCAACCAGCAAAAATGGAAAACTCAGCATGGTGAGACAGAAGCACCTTTTTTTTTTCAGCCGGAAGAGCAATATTCTTGATCCTGTCACCTTCCAGATGTTAAGGCAAGAAGTTGCCACCCAGTGGGTCTGGAGAGGATCAAGTTGCACAACCCTGGTGTAGAACAGCATTTCTCAACTTTAGCAACTTTAAGCTATGTGGACTTCAACTCCCAGAATTCCCTAGCCATAAATGCTGGCTGAGGAATTCTGGGAGTTGGAGTCCACATACCTTAGCATTGTTAAGGTTGAGAACCTGTGATTTAGAATGAGTGAGGCTAGATAACTAGGTTGGGATTATTTTGAGTTTGTCTCATCCTTTCCCCTTTCTCAGGACTGTGTTATCTTTTCTCAAAGCCCTTCCCCCCATTCACTCTGGTCATTCCTTCCCCATTCCCATAGTCTACACTCCTCCCATAAAAGGAGGGAGATTCCATATGTACAACTCTGACTTCTTGAAAGGCAAGAGATGTCGCAAGTACATAAATAAAATCCTGGTCCAAGATACTCCAAGGCTATTTTGCCTTTCATGAACAGAAAGCGGCCACTCAGCTGAAACCCAGGCTCTGATTTCTCCTCCTCCTCCTCCTCCTCCTCCTCCTCCTCCTCCTCCTCCTCCTTCTCCTTCTCCTCCTCCTTTCAGGCTCATATCCAGAATGCTACACTGGCAGGTGGGGTTGCCCTTGCCTTCTCTGCTTCCAACATCCAACAGCCTTGGATTGCAATGGTTTTGGGTCTGGCGGCAGGCACGATTTCTGTCCTTGGCATGGCCTATTTACAGGTAACCCTCCCTATTTTAAACCTTTTCATTTGCTAGTTATGGAACAAGCAACTGGGATGCTTTAGAATTTTGGCTTTCTGGAAGAAATTTTTTCAGATATGTGCTAGTCTTTTCCATAGTTATGAAGATGCTCACACAGTCCACGTGGCCGAGGCCTCTGCGTTCCACATTTCTATGAAAAGTGGCATGCAGACTTTTCTATTTAAAGCCCTGCTTCGGGACTGCTAGAAAATTAATATGAGGGTAGGCTACGTTTATAAATAAACATTGATTGTTGTAACTTCTAAGTTAAAAACCTTATTGTGTGTTGCCTTTTCTACATTCCTCTTCCTATCAAACTCAGAAACACTTGGATCCAGCACTCCAAATCCATGATACTTGTGGAGTCCTTTACACTTTCGGCTTGCCCAGTTTGCTTGGAGGGATAATCCACGTTATTCTCATCCTAACCAACCACAGCAAGAGCCTCTCAGTGTAAGCTGAATCTGTCCGTTTTTAATACCCTTGATTAATTTTAAGAATCCTTGGTTGATATCAGAGTCAGTTACCTGTTGTATAATCAGGTGAAGGAGGATGCCTGCAGAGAGAATCTGGGGTGATGGACTGTAGTGAAATGGTAGTTTCTCAAGGAGTGGGGAGCACATTCCAAGGAGAAGGGGCAGCCTGGAGCTGGATTGGAAGAGTCAAGATCTCTCAAGATCTCTTATTAGGGTGAGAATAGTATTGGTTTATTCTGGCAAGATTCTGTCTATTGGATATCAGAAAACAAAAAACTCAATAGACTATTCAACGTTGTTCTTGTATTGAGCCCGGCAGTTTTTATTCTTGCTGTTATGCTGGATCAGTCTGGAAACTTCCTTCTTAAACGTGGAAATCCTTAGGTGACTTTGATTCGGTCACTCTATCCTCACAAGCCTAGAACTACCTTCAAGGTTTTGGAAAGTTCATATATGAAGCTCAGGTTTTTTTGACATTATTTTATTGATTTTTAATTTTTCACTACAAGATAGCTGACCTTCGTTATCTTTGCGCACCCGCAGTAGAGTTAGGCCTATTTCAGGAAATACTCAGTTTAAGCAGCTATAGGGAAATAGTCGAGACCTCTAGAACTCCTGGTTGTACCATACCCAAGGAAGTCTGGTGTCCTCAAGAAAGAAAGTTTGAGAATTACTGAAATGGTTCGTAAGGACTACCAGATATCATATTTAGAAAGCAGAAGCTGACTCCCCTACCTCATTCTTTTACTCAGTTTTGAACATTTCTGCCTTTATGATCCTCTACAGATTTGGTTATTCAGCTTTAATTGAAGTTGGTGCACTCAGCTTGAGCCTATGCTTCAGTCTGTTCAGTGGTCTGCTTACAGGTCTGTATCACAAAACTGCTTCACTGTCCATAGAACATCAATAACAAGTGTTTTATTGGGTCTGCTGTTGTCCTCCAAGATTGTCCAGCTTTTAGGAGACAAATCAGTTCTCTAAAACTTGAATTAAAATCTGAATTCAGTGAAGGTAACTTAGATCAGATTCTTTCTGATTAAAGGACTTGGATTTCTTGGAAATTCAATTTCTAAGAAGTTTGTCAGATGTGGTGGTGGAGATTAAAATTACTCCCATCCTATACTGGTTACTATCCAGCTGATAGATTTCTTAAACGTTTTCACCATCCCTTATGATGAGGAAAAGAAAGCTGGAGGTTTTAAAAAGTAGGATAGTTCATAAACCAAGTTTTGCACAACTGGAAATTTGTCTAGGGATCCCAGCAAACATATGGTTATGTTTCAAATCCTGCCCTACATTTACAGATGCTTATCTGTATTTTGGCAAAAATCATGTTTCTAAGTCTAAAAGGATATTGTAGTTAAAAAATGACTAGGGGAATGTTGTGGCACTATAGTCTAGTTTTGTTTAAATTCAATTAAAAGTAAATTACATATAATTTTCTACAGTGTATTTTAATCATTTTCCATCCTGTTACAGGAGTAAATGTATATCAATGGCAACTTTTGGCAGGATCTGGGAGTCTCCAATGCCCATGGATTAGAAAACACTTTGGGGGGAAAAGAACTACAGTTCAAATTTGGAAAAAGGGGGAAACCAGATGAAGCAAGGCTCACTTGGGAAGATTGGACATATAGAATTAGATGGAAGCTAAGACCCAAAATGCAGCGATTTGGCTGGGTATCATTAACAGGGATAAACCGTAGAAACTTTTTGCAGTTGTTCAGATTTTGAATGCAGATCTGGTTTCAATTTATTTTTTAGGTCTCATTTTATCTTGCAAATTATGGAAAACACCTCCTGTAACAAAGTACTTCGATGATCAAGTTTACTGGGAGGTAGGATTATATTTGATAGCTTTGTGTCTTGTAAAGATTGGGACTCAGGTCAGCTTTACATAAAGATCTTTTTCCTTTTGCTTCTTGGCAGCAGGGTTACACTGAGCTGAATGTATTTGAACTATTTTAACTCATACATTGTTCTTCAACTAAAGCCAGGAAAAAAGAAATAAAGTCCCAGAATGTCTAGATCTAATTCATTCAATGGACAGTAGTGTTTGATTTTGGCTTAACGTGTTATGAGATTCAATCAATAATCACAGTCAAGCAAACCATACAGATCATACTGAATGCTACCATATTAAAAAGTTCAGAACCAAAACTTTCTCACTGATGAATACATGAATATGTAATATGAATGTAGTACAACCACCCTACTTGTTTCTCACTTTTTTGGCTATCTCAAATCAGATCCCACATGAATGTAATTTGCCTGATTTGGTGTCAATGTGTTATGGAAACCTAGTATTTTTATTTGTAAGCTACTGTATGCTTATGGCTAACCATGTGAATTAGCCACGTGGGGGATTCACTAACTTTAGTTAAGCAAGCATGACTTGTATATCTCTTACAATTTTCCAGAATTCCACTATGTATAAACCCATCCTAATTAGTTGCATTTAAGAGTGCATTACTGAGCTAGAAAACAATATTAAAAAAATTTTTTTTATATCTAGTTCCCCCACTTAGCTGTTGGATTCTGAATACCATCTTCAGGAGGGCACCAAGTTACACAGCTAAGAGACTTTCTCCTTGATGCAACAAGAATGCATGAAAAAGAGACTTATTTACTTTATTAAATTTACCAGAATATTTGGTAAGCATTTAGTATAAAATACTTGCTTGTAATGCTAAAATGAATATATGCCAAGTGTTTCTTTAAAAAATGTTCCTTTATATTCTAGGCTTTTAAAATGCTTAGATAATGCAAGTGGAAAGTGAAGATTAAATATTATATATGAAACAGAGTCCAATCATATCACTCTGTGTTTATATACAGTGTTTTTCACAGTCATAAAGTTCATGCATTACTCTTAAGCCAGGGGTGTCAAACTCAAGTGATGTCAAGCTGGCCATGCCCACCCCAGCCCCCTGAGGTCAAACACAACCCTGATGCAGCCCTCAACGAAATCAAGTTTAAACCATCATATGGTTTGGTTCAGCATCCTGTGTCAAGAGTGCTTTGTTTACAAAAAAAAAAAAATTAAACCAATAGACAAATCAGACTACTGATTCCTTTCCACAACTGAGAACTGATTTCCCTGCAAAGTCAGAAGGTTGCACAGGGAATTTCTTATACAGCCTTCTGCAAATAGCACTTCGTGAATATGTTAGAAAATGACACTGTGCAGGGAAGGCAAGGTGTGTATTTGAGGAAAAAGCTAGTCTTCCATTATCAATATAATTCAAAAATGTTGCAAGAAACCGCAAGAAGAAAGTCGCATTAGAAATACAATAAGAGTATATTTCTATTACATTTTATACACATAAGTAATAACCTTCATATACAAGCATTCCACAAAACACTGTCAGTCAAATATTTCACATTAAAAAAAAAACAGCACTTATACCCCCGAATAAAGGAACAGTAAGAGATACAGTAATATTAAGATATAACAAAAACATTCAGTAAGAGGACAGTACGAGTTTCTCTTCCATCTCAGCTTAATCACAGGCTACAATATTTAATGTCAAAAAGCCAAGAGTAGAAAAGTCTCAAGTTGAAAGAAATAAAAATGGAAACGTGTATCATGATTTTAAAATGTGGAGAGTTTTCTTTTTTGCTGATAGCAGAGCACTAATAATACAAAAAGGGAGTTAAAAATAGTAGGTGAGATGCTCCGTGTCACTTATTGCCACAAATCCTCAGTGCGACCAAATTTAAACACCAGACCGCTGTTGGAAAGAAAGACAAATTATTAGCTACATGGATGTCAGGACCCTCATATTAGAAAGAGCAGAACAGAAACCATTTCCTTCAATCACATATTAATATAGCACCTGTTATTTCGATAGTTACCTTCGACTGCTTTGCTGTGCCACTACTAATATACTATTCACACTTAACAGAAGTGTTTCTCAACCTCAGCAGTTTAGATGTGTGAACTTCAACTCCCAGAATTTCCCAATCAGTGTGCTTGGTGGGGAATTCTGGGAGTTGAAGTCCAAGCATCTTAAAGATGATGAGATGGAGAAACACTGCTTTGTAGGCAAAAAGATTCCATAAGGCAGGGGGTGTCAAACTCATGTCATCACAGTGTCACGTGACCTATCGTTTTTCTCCCCTTCACTAAACCAGGCATGGGCATGGCCAACGTGTGACACATCTGGCCTGCAGGCTATGAGTTTGACAGCCTTACCATAAGGGAATGTTTTGATTGCTGAAAAGGCAATCCGGTGTGGGAAGGAAATAAGAAAAGCCAGAAAAGAGGCCATGATGGTAAACGTATATTACAGATAAACTTTCCCCATTTTATGGCCTACATTGACTGGCAGTAATCCCCACCCCCGTTTTTCTCCCCAAAAAGAAACATGTCATCCAAAAGCTTGTTATTCCTCCCTCAAGTGTATTGAATCCATATCACAACACCTGAATACAGCCAAAGTATATTTAAGAATGCATATTAGTAAATGACTAGTTTCATACTGCCAATCTCTAAAGTAGTTTCTTCACTTCTGACTTAATACCCTCTGGGAATAAGGCAAAAATTTGAACTAAGCCATAGGTAATTGTAAAAATGAACGACCTATGGCTTAGTTAGTATGATGTGTAAGGCAAATAAGTGCAACTTTCAGAGAGCTTGGTCCTTCTCAGATAATTGAGCTGTTAGAATAGAAATTTAAAGAGAAAAAGGCCCTGAAATCAAAACTTTGCTGCTCAAATGAGACACAATCAAAATTAGTCTAAGGAAAATTTGAAACCTGCACTTTATGGCATGCTCAGTCCCACTGTGTGTTTTTTTAATGTTACAATAAGACCCATACGACTTTTGTTTAGGAGTTAGAAAACCTCAGATCAGAAGTAGGGTCATTAAAAAATTATTTATAAAGACAAGGGAACGAAAATTTAAAGTCACATCATACAGCCAGCCTCAATCCCCTCCCCAACTGTGTTTCTAAATGCTATCTATAGTGTCAATAATTTGTATTGTTTGTTTTTGTTATGGCTTACAGATGTTTCACTATATAAAATATATCTGAAATATGGACATGCAGCAGAGTTAGTAAAATAGCAAGTTTAGTGTGTGCTTGTAAAAAAGCTTATATTATTAGCATAAATGTCTCTCTCATTTCTTCATTTTCAAAATCAAGTATCACCCCCATTTCTTTGGACAACTAAGGATTTCTTAGGTATATAAGCTATCCTTATCTTGAAAAAGTCTAGGAAAAAATAAAGAGGTACAGCCTTGTCCTGAATCAGATTGAATATTTTTATAGATGCAGGATGCAAGGGGTTAACCTAAGATTTTATTTTATTAATATATCTTTGAATAAAAATATGTTCTTAGTGTAACTTCGGAAAAACTTTAATTCATCAGATTCTGTTGCTGGTTCTTGTTTGATAGTGTTATTTGATTTGTTTAGTTATGCTTTTATACTTTTATTGGGTAAAGATTTATATTTACTGCCCATCTCTGACATTACATTTTTAACTAGGGTGGTTGTTATGTATCTCAATAAAAGGCACTCTATAAATACATTTTTATGATTAGTTTTGTTGGCTCAGTAAGCATTTTATTTTAACTGGCATAAAAGAGAACAATGATATAAATACCCCAAATATTTTAAAGCATTCTAATTTTATAAGTTTTATGGTAATGCTCCCACATATCACAGCTAAAATTTATATCACTAACATAAATTGGTTCATTTTTACCACTGCCTCTAATCTTTTTTAACAACCACTTACACAGGGCTTCCAAAAATATCCAGGTCGATATATATAATAGTTTATCATACTAGATAATAGATGAGCATAATAATGTACATAATAAATCCAAATAAAAATGGAAAGCATTCTTACCCAAAGAAAATAAAAGCATTTTGAAAGAAGACTGCTATTCCTGGATAAACAGGTGATTTGTCTTGTTTGTCTGTGGAAAAAAAGAATTATTTTATCAAATTCCTGAAGCTTATTATTAGCATCTTCTCACAACAGTGTACTTTATTTTCTCAATGCTAAAAGCATTAATAGATGGCTTCTGATGCTGCCACTTTTATCAGAATTTGGCAAACAGTTTTTAGGAATGTATCTAAGTTTATTTATGAATTTATTTACTTGCAAAATTTGACACTGTTTTTCTATCATGACAATCTTTTGCTAGCTTTTTAATTGACAAAATTAAAATATTGTTCAAGGCATTCTATTTCAAACTTCAGTAAGTAATTACACACCGAAAAACAAACCAGCAACTACAAGTTGAAAAGGTAGAAAGATGGAATATAAATAAATTTCCTCGAAGTAAATCTCATTCTGCTAGGGAAGATAACTGTGTAAATATGCCTATGATCACATTCTAAAGAATATATTTCTTATATACAATAGTTTCTACAAAGATGTTAAGGATCAGCTTTCACAACTCAGGATTCTCTGAAGCCATGTTCATATAACATATTAAAGCACAATATGATTTGTGCATATTTAAAACTCAGCCCATTGTGATATGCTATAAATATATTAGATTTTGTGTCTGTGTGAACATAGCCTAAAAATTTTAAAGAAAAAGAGAGTGGTAAATATCACTGTATTGAGCTTCAGGAAAGAACTATCTTTATAAAAGAGAAGAGCTTTATACAATGCCATGATTTCTTATTTCCAATGGAATTTTGGAAGAGCTTCACACAGAGAAAAAAGATACAGTCCTTTTCCATAGAAGACTACAATTCAACAATATTTCACATGCAGTTTTCTTACCATTAATAACATATCCTCCAAAGAGAATCCACATTGATGCAATCAGAGATCCAAATGCCAACATAAAACCGATAAACAGCCAGATACGAGCACCTTAATGTACACAAAGATAACCACATTATTTTCAAAATAAACAAGTTCAATATTCTTTCATTCATGACACAAACAGATTTCTTTCTTTATATGGTAATACCTGTAGAATGTTAGGAATATTCTATGATCAAAACTGTAAAATGTATTCCCCCCCGCCCCCGCCAATGTACAAATGTAGTACATTATGTTTTCAAACACATCCCTTTAGAAAAAGCATTTTTTCACTGCATCTCCTTAAAAGCATATTTTGAGAATCTAATGCTGGGCTGTGAAGATCTATCTCCAATCTTCTGCATAACCAAAATGGCTTTGTAACGATATAGGTAGCCTAAGAGTTAATTATTGAAACTCATTTTAAAAATAATAATTCTCCCAGAAGTGGTAGGAACAAAACTGTGGTCTAAATCAATTAGCATGGCATATAAATGGCTAAGACAGATGAAATGGGCATCAAAATATATATGCGAAGATAAAATGGCAGATACATTATTTCAAAATGTAACAGAATTTTCTCAGTAAAATTAGGAATATTATATCCTAACTTACTAAATGAACAGAATAAAGGAGAATTATTATTTCTCACCCATGACAAAAATGATTTTGTAAATAGATAGGAATGAGGATGTAAGTATTTTTTTAAAAAAAAATAGCTTTCTTTCCATTGTGATATAAATAATGAGAGGAATAATATGTTTTACCTGTTTGCCCAAGACACCCTTCACTGTAACTGTCCCCACGCACCTGACCATTGGAGACGGCATTGATCCTACAACAACAGAATGGAATTTGGCATGAGCGTTGAGAATTCAGCAACTGATGACATAGTGAAGTGTCTGAAATATTCATTAACTTTGCATTACATTGTTGCCTTTCTTGCAGTAACAGCATGAGGCAGACCAAAATGATTATCCTATGTTGCAAAAGGAAGAAGGGTGAAGGCAAAAACTTGCTAGTGCCATCTAGCATTTTCAAGACACAAGTCAGCCTTCAGACACTTCTGAGCCTAATTTTTCACTACTATGGCAATGTGGTCCTTAATGAGGAATTTTCATGTTAAACTGGGACAACTATGGGCAATATGTAGTCTTCCAGATATTCTAGCTAAACCCCAAGCAATCTCAGCCTATTGCCCATAAAAGTTATTTACACAAAGGTAGCTACCGGTATATCTCATAACAAAATAAACCTAGGGCTTGGTTAAATTGAGCATTTCATTTATTCAGTGTGATTAAATTACAGAATATTCAATTAGATGCTGAATATCAGGCATTAGATTTGAACATATATTTCAACACAAATTCTAAAGAAACATTTCTAACATTGGGATGGAAATGTTACCTACATTAGGAATGCAACTGTAGCTATAACTCCACAAGCATGGTATGAATGGTTGAACTCTGCTGAACCTGGATATTTGACAGCTGCATCTATTATAATCCACCACCCTGTAAAAAACTGAACACAATTCTATTATCAGCATCATCAACACAATGCTTATCTTTTATCACTACTCTCACAGACATTAAAATAACAATATTTCAGAGTCAATGAGAAAAGATTACAATAAACATGAACACTTTGTTGGCCCCAAGAAACAATGCTTTTATAGAAGAATATTAAAAGGTAAGCTACATTCTAAATTTGCTGAATTAGATCAATACATTTCAAGGTGGACCTATGGAGTCTTTCATATTATACATGTAAAATATTCATAATAACAAACATTTTTATATTACGTAGTATAGTTTAGTTTGCTGGTACTTTATTGATTAGCCCTTGGACCATATCAAAGTGCAAAGTTCCAGATGTAAGGCATGTTAATATGCAAATAAGAATAAAAATACACACCAGCACACCAGCTGCAATAGAAGCTATTGTATTTCGTTTTTCTCCCCAGTCAACACACTCGGAACATCTGACATTTTCAAGGAACCCAGACATATTTCAATCCTCTGTAAAACCTAGGTGAGAAAATGAATGTAATTTTTCTTTCTCTGGTTTTGTCTTAAATGCATGATTTTTAAAAATGTGCTAACTATATTTACTGCTTTTAAAGTGTTAGAATCCAGGATGCATATCAAAATGTGACTAATACCTTTAGGCAAGTACACATACACGGAGATCCGGAGGTGCTGAAACACATATCTCAGCTGTGCTCTGTTTAGTCTCCAGTTACATTTGATTATAAAATATGCTGTTAACAAGCAAATGTTTCCCATCAGCAAACTGCTTTTCCTAACAAAAGCATGATTGCACAATTGAAAATATCCCACTTACAACTTCCTTTACTGAACAGATTTTCAGCAAACTCAGGATAAAAACTCCTCTGCTCAAGGAAGTGTGCAAATACAGCTATTCACATACTCTTCAGATTACTTATGCTTAATACAGTGGAAGTTCTCTCAAATGAATACAAATTTTGGCCTTCATATCAACAAAATGGTTACATTTCAATGAACACAATACACTAATAACTAGAGCTCCACTTTTCAAACATCCTTTTAGAAGGAAACTTCAGTACCCCAGCTGGTGAACTTCATGGAATTCACAGATCAAAATTAAGTTGCCCCAAATGCATAGCAATCAAGTCTACCGAAATAGTCTGAGTGAGGTGTCTACTGAAATATCCATGGAGGTTCTCAGTCATCCCAGTCTTGGTTGTCCCAAAGGTGCTTTTTTTTTAAAAAAAAAGGCAACTGAAGAAGCTTCTTGGATGAGAAGCGAAACGTTTTCAAGGAAAAACAAAGTCCAGTCGCCTTTTGAAAAAGCATCTTTGTGTTCTACTGAAACAGTTCTAACTTTTCTATACTGGTCTTGTGTGGATAAAATACTCCCATTTCTTACCATAAGAAGAGCATCACTCACACATCCTGTTGGATTTACCCCAAAAAGTACAGTTTAATCCAATCAACCCACTGTTCTCTAGGTCCACAGAACATACATCATCATAAACATGCCAGCCACATTTTAGTGTAGTTGTATGTCAGGCCAACTCAAAAAAAAAAAAACCCTTACTAAATCAATCACGATTACATATACTTGTAAATCCCAGTTACTTAACCCTAAGCATTTCCACACTCTTTGGGATTGCACAACAGGACGCACCAATGTTTTGTCATAAAATCACGTTTAGAGGGGTGTGGACTTCAACTCCCAGAATCCCCCCAGTCAGCCATTGGGCCGGCGCCGTTTGGATCTAAGCACCCCCCCCCCCCCCAGCAGATTCATTCATCCCAGAGTTAGGCGGGTCGCGAGAGCGAAGGAGCACGGCTCTCCAACGGCTCAGGCCCTGCTTCCGGGGGCGGGTGGGGGGAATCGCTCGAGCGACCCGAGGCTCTCCAGCCCGCGATATACCCACGCCGGTTCAGCTTTAGCAACGGGCTGCGACCCTCTCGGGCACGTCCAGACTCTTCGCCGGAGGCCGAAGGGTTCCCCTCTTCACTTACCGCCCCTCAAGCGCCTTGGAAAAGGTAGCCGGCGCGCACTCAGCTGACTGCGGGCGTCGCCAGCGCTAACCCCGCCTTCGCCCTGAGATAAACAAAAGCGGGGCCGGCTCCAGGACCCGTATGCTTGAAAGGCCGCATCCAGGATGTCTCCGTCTGCGCAAGCGCGAACTCGGCTCGCCTGCTCGCACGTGCGCAAGGCGTTCTCCACAGCCCGCTTGCACGCTGCGCATGCGCCCCAAGCGACGGAGGGAGGGAACGATTTGGTAGCGAGTAGTGGGCTGCGTTGGCGCTTTACCGAGAACGGTGATGCCTGTGTTTTGAATCTTTTTAAAAATCGAAACAACTATTCTGTTATGTCAAGGTCATTTATTTAGCATATGACAAATACATGGACTTAGGATGGTTCAAATGTTAATGTCCAGTCCACCTAGCCATTCAAGGGCAGGGTGGTCTATGTCAGGGGTCTCTATCCTTGGCAACCTTAAGACTTGTGGACTTCAACTCCCAGAATTCAAAGCTGGCTGAGGAATTCTGGGAGTTGAAGTCCACAAGTCTTAAAGTTGCCAAGGTTGGAGATCCCTGGTCTATATTAAAAAAAAAAAATCAGACATTGGGCCTGTATCAAGGTCAAATCTAGCATGGGAGGCAAAACTGGCATTTTAAAAAGAAGTGGCAATTGCCCCCACAACTGCTTTTTATGCTTAAGAATGAGGCAAGGTGGAAAGTGCAAATCATGAGAATGTTTCCAAAAGATTCTCGATTTCTAATTCCCTAGGAAGTCGATTTCTGTAGGTTTACTTTTTTTCCCTGTAAGGTAATCAAATGTATCATAAATACATGCCAGTTGCCAAGTGTCCGAAATTTTAATCGTGACAGTGGGGAGGCTGCAAACAGTCACAAGTGTGAAAAAAGGTCATAATTTTTCAGGACTTTGAACTTTGAATTGTCACTAAGTGAACTGATGTAAGTTGAGGTCTACCGGTACAGCACAATAGTGGTAGTCCTCGAATTACAACTGAGCCCAAAATTTATGTTGCTAAGTGAAACATTTGTTAAGTGAATTTTGCCCCCATGTTATGACTTCTACCCATGGTTGTTAAGTGAATCATTCCATTTGCTAAGTTAGTAACATGGTTGGTAAGTGAATCTGGATTCTCCACTGACTTTGCTTGTCAGGTCGCAAAAGGGGATCTCATGACCCTGGGACCGTCATAAATATGAATCAGTCGCCAAGCGTGGTGAGTTTTGATCATGTGACCATGGGGAAGCTGCAATGGTCATAATTGTGAAAAAGGGTCATAAGTCACTTCTTTCAGTGCCACTGTAACTTTGAACGTGTTGTAAGTGAAGAGTACCTGGGCACAGCTGAGGGGAGCAGAACCCTGTTTCTATGGTGACAATTCAGGCCACGCCCACACTGTAGTACGCATGCGCAATAACGCCATTGCCATTCAACGGGTGCCAGGCTATTCTGGAAGCTTCTGGTTCCTTCAGTCGGAGTCGGGCGCTCGAAGGAAGTGGTTTCTTTGGCGGCGGTTGCAACTAACGGAGAGCTAATTATTTTCTCCTCGGGAGTCGCGAGCGGCGTCTTGACCGGCAGCCGAGCGGGCTTTTCTTAACCTATTTCGTCGTTGGCGTGAGGAATTCGGAGTGTTTCTTCTTTCAGGCGTTCCCTCCCCTCGCCTTTTTTGCTCTAATGGCGGTGACTAAGGAAGCCGAGCTCTGCCCTCAGGGACCTCCGCGGAGCCAGTAAGTCCTTATTCGGCTTTTTTTTTTTTAATTGAATGTTGGATCTAAAAAAAAAACGTTCTGCTTTGGACGGGCAGCGGCACGAAGGCTAAATTCACACAGTTAACCCTGATTTAACCGCACTGATCCTTCCCCTCCTGAGATATTAACGCTACACCTAAAGGCCTGAGGGAGGTGTCGGGTTTCCACCTCACTCCAAGAAAACTGCAGGGCGCCCATTTCGCAGCATTAAGATGATCGTGTCGAAGTACTGAAGAGAGGAGATTTTGCTCACCCTTAGTTATTGCCTGTTGTTGTTTATGGCGGTGTGTGTGTGTGTGTGTGTGTGAGGTAAGCTTGCCCTGGGTTCCCCTTTGAGCAGCCTTGTCTGCAAAAATCGGCCGAAGCTGCTCGAAGTGTGTAGAAATCCGTATTGGGTCTTCCTTCGTTAAAATCTGCTCGCAAAGTCCACCCTTTCCGCGTTGCCCTTGATTTGTTTTGTAAAATCTTTCTGTACTCACCATTGGTCGTAAAATTCAATTCGGTTCTGAACATTTTATTCGGAAATCCTGTATCAAAGCTGTTTTCGGAGAAATAAGCGCAGATTGCTTTGGTTTATACAGAAATTGTATACCCGATTTCTGCTACTGTCAGGTTTTAATGGGCAAATTACAGATTTTTTTAAAATTTGTGGTTAAACAAAAAGACTTAATTTCTTCTTATCTTTCCTTTGTTGTAGTCCTGTCATTATTTGGCTATAAACTTGAAGTTGGATGGAGTTTGTAACAGTGCAGTTTACTCCTTGTTTTTTAAACTCCTTCTGGTCTTGGTCTTTTTTCCCTAATGTGTTTGTTTAAAATCATAGCCAAAGGCATTGAGGATAGTTACAATAACCAAAGATAGAGTAAGTATTGCTAAACTGGGCAAGAGAGAGGGAGAAATGGTTAAATTCTAACGACCCAGCACCTTAGCACAGGGAAATTAAGACCCACCTAGCTGGCCAAAAGTTTAATATATGAAATGTGCTCATTGGGATTGCATCTCTCTCCTGGCTGCTTTGTGGTTCAGTGGTGTGCAGAGTGATTAACATGGCTTGGTATACTGTGCGAATTTTGGTATCCTTTTAATTTAATTAAAATGAATATTGCTGGTGGATGACAGATGAATTGGCTGAACATAATTGATTTTCCCCCCATGTACTGTTTACTATAGTACCTCAAGATGTGCTTGAATATGTGCTATTTTACAGGGCATTTCATTGCAAACTACAGTACTTATGAAATAAACCTCAGTATTCTGTCACTAGGAAAAATACTGATGTTTTTGCATCAGGAAAAGCTGATCTAGTTATAAAATTTGATTGTGAATCTTAAAACTCTTTTACAGGAGTCCTCACCAAATCAATGGAAGTTGCAAGAAGAAAGAGATTTCTGTGGCACTTAATGGTAATTTCTTTTCAACAATGAATTGGTTTATGTTTAGTTAATGTTTTATAGCTAGGATATTTATAGTCTGAAATTCTGAGATAAAGGAAAGGAGCAGGGTACAATCTTTCTAAATATGCATCGGATTTATTAAAAATGATGAAAGTGAAAATAAGGAAAACAGATTTATAGAAGGAAAGACTTGTTTATAGTTGTGTTTATAGTAGGATGGATTCCATAGCAATGATGTGTGTTCCTAAAAAGCTAAAATGGTAGTTACGTAACAGCTGCATTTTGACTAAGTGCAGATAGACTCTTAATCTACTGAAACAGGTGTCTGAATTGCTTAGGCTTGTCTCCTAAATACTTGATTATTGCTAGGATTTGAATAAAGTTGGAAAATAGTTCTAGTGATGTTTATAAAATGGAATATGAAATAAGGCAGTTCAGAAAGACCATAAGTAATAGAAGAAATGTAACTTTACGGTGTTGAGGTTTTCTGAAACATGTTTTTTTTTTCAATCCAAAGTATTTGGGACTGGACAGCAGACAGCAGAAGGGGCATGTTCTAAAATTTCTGAAAAGCAGAAAGTGAGCAAGACAACAGATGAGATGATAGGATTCATGGATGATTTGACTCTGAGCTCACCTAAAGGGAGATCTCTGTCATGTTCAAGGAGCAGCTGTAGCAAGCGATCCTCCTCAGTATCTTCTAATGATTCATCTTACAGTTCAATTATTTCATCTTCCTCCACAAGCTGGAGTAGATCAAGGAGCAGATCAAGATCACATGCAAAAAGGATTTGTTCTCGGAGATCCAGAGGAGTATTCAGAGGATACTCAAGATCTTATTCCAGGAGTCATTCAAGATCACACAATTACAGATACCGGGAAAGATCCCATTTTAGATATTATGGAAGACATCCTAGCTCACATCCAATACATCAATCACGGAGTAGATCTCCTATTAGATCTTACTATCACAGGTGTTACTCCAGAAGTAAATCAAGAAGCTGAGGATACTATGGGTTTGGAAGAACAGTATGTCCTGAAGTTTATGGAAGGTGGAGAAATTGCGCTCTAACAAGACCTCTTCGCTTGACAGAAAAAGGTATTCCGGGGGAAAAATATTGGGTTGTCAAAGTATTCCAAAATTCTTTGGAAAATTCTTTGTCCAGATATGAAGATGGCAATGTTTGAAGCATCTTACAGTGTATCTTACAAATAATGGCAAATCTTGGAAAAAAATAAATACATCGGATGCCTTGTAATTGAGTGAATGATGTTAGATATCTGTCTTCAAATTACAGTGCAATTGTTGAATTATTGGCTGGTTTTGAAAGTCATTGCATTGAGTTTCTTAAAGAAATAATAGAACACTAAATTAAAGCTGATGAGAGAATGTTGGTGCCTTTTAGTAAGTATGGGGGCAGGGGTAAAACTGATCTCTGAGAAATTTGTGTATTTTAAACATTCTTTCTATAGAAAAGAGAAACCCTAACCCTAATGCAGCTAAATTTTTTCTTGTTAACCCAGTCAAACTATATCAAATGGATTTTAAACTTTAAACAAAATATATATTTCAACTGTCATGGAACATTTTTTTTTCCAGAAATCCATTATCCAAACACACAACACATTTTACATACTTTATTTCTGTCTTATAGAAATCAGACTTACAAAGGGATTTACGATGCGTGCCTGTAAATCATCAAATGTCATTAGCACTCTATGCCAAGAAGCAGCCTTTGAAACAGCCCTCTTTTCTTGTTTTTTTAACTACAGCTGTGCCTTGTTCAGTAGCTGAAGTTGAAAAATCAGGAAATAAAGATGAGGTTAGAGGCCGGGTGGGCAAAAACATCAGCAGACATAGGACCGGTTCTATGTCTGCTGCTCTTCAGAGCTACCGGTTGTACAGAGGTGGACAGAACCGGTAGAAACCCATCTCTGCATGGCAGTAGAGAAAGTTGAACACCTTTCATATGCACTGTCTCCAATGTATTCTTGGCATCACCTCGCATGACAAAGTTCCAAATAGTTCAGTCTTGGAACATGCTAGAATTTCTAGCATGTATATACTATCGAAACAGTGACATCTATGCTGGCTTGGGCATGTTGTGAGGATGGCTGATGGTTGGATTCTGAAAGATCTGTATGGAGAATTAGTGCAGGGAAAGCACCCTAGAGGGAGACCACAGCTGCGATATAAGGACATACGCCAGAAGGATCTAAAGGCCTTGGGAATGGACATCAACAGCTGGGAAACCTTGACCTCTGATAGTTCAGCTTGGAGGCTAAAGACACAGCATGGCCTTCTTCAATTCGAAGAGACGCTCGTTCTGCAGGCTGAAGCAAAGAGGCAGTCCCAGAACCAGCGAAATCTGAGGGCTAGACAGAAGACAGACTATCTGTCTTCAGTGTGGAAGGGATTGCCACTCGAATTGGCCTTTTTAGCCACACTAGATGCTGTTTTAGGGCCCCTTTTTTCAGAGCACGATATCATAGCCTCTTGAGACTGAAGATGCCCATTCAAATTCAAAATAGAAATCATGAATATGGTCTGCAGTTCTGATGAAGAAAATCTGTTGGTAATTGATTATTGTTCTGGCTCATGGGAGGGGTTGGAAAACATAAAATTGAACAAATTAAGAATAAAAACTCTGATTTCAGGTGGTATTAAAATATTCTACACGTTCCATTAGCAGGTATTAAAAGACAGGAACTAACTGCCTATTTGAAAATATTTCCTCAATTCTTTAATAAGAAATAACAAAATGTAATTCTTAATGAAGTATTAATGGAAACCTTTCCATTAATCCATTTTGAAAAGAAACTAAAATTTAAGAATGGGTATTAATCTTGAGCTAAATGTACTGAAAATAGCAAAGATGAGCATAAATTGCAGCCACTTGTCTATACTTGCTTCTTAATACCAATCTATTGGAAGTCTGATAGAAGTATTTTCAGATTAGCAATTCTAGTGTTTGTGTGTTAATCAAGAGACGAGACCACACCATTCGTTGAATTATTTAGGTGGCAGTAACTTAAAATGTAAATCTTCTTTCTAACAGACAGAAGAGAAAAAAGGAATTGAGATGACATCTGTGATGAGGGGCATTACTCCTAGTCCTAACGTAAGTTCAGTTGTCTGAAAGCAAGAAACTGATTAGAGATTTTAGTGTAGGATGGTTTTGCAATCTTATACAGCCCAATTAAATTTTGGCAGAGTTGTTCCCAAATTATCATGCAAGGAATTGTCATATTCCAACCACTTTTCTGGGGTGGAATAAGGTCTCCTACTTGAGCAGGGATTTGGACTAGAAGCCCTCCAAGGTACCTTCCAAGTCCTTATTTTGTTGTTATCCTGTCACCTTTAATTCAAAACCATGCAAAGAATATTCCTAGTATAGGAGAAACTTAATTTCTTCATGGCTATTATGAATATTAAGAAAAGCAAAGTACTTAAGTTCATATAGCATTGATTTGTGAGTTTGCATTTTATTTTGTTCATGTAATTTCTGTGAAACTTAGTACTTTTGTACATCCTTAGGAAGAATTGTAGTTTTAGGATACTGTAGGACTATCCCTAAATATCCTAAAAATCCAATATTTTATTATGCTACCTGTAAGAATAAACATATTTGCTTGAACAAATAATGATTGACTTATGACAATTCCTGACTTACTCTAATTTTCTATTTTTCAGAATATAATGCCAAGGCCATTGGCCCTGAAATCAGCAAGTCTGCTTTGTAAAAACCTGGTAGTATCCCCAACAAGAGAAAAGGGGCTCTGTTGGCCAGTGGATTCCTGTTAAGAATGAAGAAAATAGAGTTTCATAATTTTTTTACCTGAAAGTACAACTTTCAGAGCACGCTAGTAGTTCTGTTCTGGTTAATAGCATCCGAAATCCAAAATATCTCATATTTGAGATTTAAATGTAGGTTACCTCATTTGAAACTAGAATTTGTTTTGCAGATAGAAAATGGAATATACAGACAAAGTGAATGCAGGTAGGATTTTTTTCTGTAAATTTTGCTTTTTGGCTGAAATGGATTATGTCACAAACAGGAATATCTTACTGATAGATTTTAGTGTGTAACAAATGAAGGTTTCTTCATTTTATAATGTTAAGCACTTTTAAACTGTTATGTATGGCTCCTCTTGGCAATTCATTTTAGCTATGTAGTTAAATGTTTTGCTTTAACAATTGCAGTAAGTACAAAGACAACAAAAGATACATTAGTGAAGTTCTAGTATTTTCATATTAATCCTTGCCTGTTACCAACACTCCATAAATTACTCTCCTTGCAACAATTGTAAGAAAAATTTCTAAAGTTCTTATTTAGCTGTGAATAAGCTTGACACAAACATTTAAAGAAGTCATGCTTCAAGCAGAAAGGGCTGGGCAGGGCAAATTTAGGTAATATGCTGTTGATTGTTTTTTACTTAATTTCATAGTTTGTGTAAATATTGTACTATAGCCAAATGTTTTGAACTGTTTGACATTACAATGGTTATTCAAGAAAAAATGGCATTCAAAATGAGTGAAGGATGACTTTGTATAAGCTGCATTTTTTCTGCAATTTTCATAAAAATCTGTAATAAAGAATTTCAAATAAACTGAATATTCTGTGGAAATGTACTGTTTTTATTCAAAGGAACAAAGACATGCAAAAATAGCTATTTTAGCAAATTACATGTTTGATTAGATTCTTTTGTCTGAAAAAGAAAAGATCCAAGTAGTATATGAGTACAGAGATGGATTACCCATAAACTATTGGTGAACCTCCTGGAATGCTTGCCATCCATTGAACAGACTGGTTTGGAATTATTCTGTTTTTGTGTTAAGGGGTACAATGGATACTTTAGAGCAGAAGTATAATGTATTAGAAGTACCACTTGAAACTTCCAAATCAGTCCACAGAGAGTTTAAAGGAGCAAAATGAACGTTAACAATTTTTGGAGTTGCTGGGTACCTGTTTTTCCTTGCAAGTACCCAAATAAGGCATATCTACAAATTTAGTTTCATCTGCTTAAATGATATTGCCAACTGCAAGATGGTGCTGGAAGAAAGTATGTAGAAATGTTTCTTCTCTTTGCTAGAAGATTAAAATGAAAATTAATAGCTTTATCCTGTGTACAGTTGCCCTTCATCAGTAAATAAGGGATCCAAGTTATTGTCTGGAGATAAACTTGCAACCTTTGTAATAAAGAATTGCAATACTAAATTAGAAATGCTCTTGAATGGGTTATAAATCAGAATTCATTTTATTGGAGATATTGGATATTTAACTATATTCTCAAATGCTGAGAAAGGAAACTTACTGCAAAGAGTATTAAAGATTTTTACAACTCTGTTGCACATAAATTGATCAGAAACCTGTATGGTCACAGGTAACTAATGAATTCTGAATTAACAGTTGTGATATTTTACAAACATGAAAGTTGATACAAAAATGATAAAACAGCTATCTTTAATCATGCTGAGCACATCCTCATGACTTCCCCAAATTTTCATTAATGAATCTTGGAAAATTAACATATACCTAGGCAATTTTGTGATCAAGCTTGTCCTTTGTTTGGAAGCTTTCTTCATTAAAGTGGAAGTCTTCAAAACGTTGAATTCATTCGCCTTTAGGAGCCTATAAAGATCTTCCCAAACTCTATCCAGGCCTGAATTATTTTCTTGTCCCAGAGTAGGAGTAGACTTTTCTTGCATTAGATGTAAAATGCTATTGACAGAATGCAAGCAGTAGGCCAAGATGGAGAAAAGAGACTTCAGAACTTAGCCCCAAGCGCTGTAAAGGCAAGCCAGCACAGTCCTCCAATTGCATCAGCCAAGTATTCTGTACCACCTTCAGTTTTGGAACCAACTCCAATGGCAGTAAAGTCATATGTTACCACAAATAATTGGGTATACAGCCCTAGAAACTCCAGAGGAAATGGACTCTTAATTCCCCCACTGACAGTTTACTTACTAGCATCCACACTGTCTAGCAAATTGAACCCCCCCCCCTTTTTCAGCAATGTACCAATTATTACAGGCAACAGCAATTTCAGGCAGGCAAGAGGGTTATCTCAATTGCCAGGGCTAGAAGCTATAATGAGCACCATATGCTGGTGGGATTCCTGCCTAGTTTGGCAGCTCAGCTGGCAACAAGCAGAAAAGAGCAAGCATATTGAGGCAGCACCCCATTCCAGCAAGCACAAGAACATTTGGAGGGAGGAAAAGCTTCAATGCCATTTTACAGGCTGAGTTTTGTTTTAAGAATTGAACATTAAGGAAATTTACAAGGCTACATCAACTTGCAAGGCCTAAAAGGAGGAAGGTAACCCTGAACAGCAGCCAATTGTTGAGGATACTGTGTGCCACCATTAACTCAGGCACAAATGCCTTTTACACATCTGACACCTGATGTAACAGAATAATAAAACAACCAATTATGCCATCTTGATGAAACAATTTGTTATAAAAGTATCCTCCGGTTACAATAGTAATTTGAGTGGAATTACCAATAATGACAGTCAATAAGCATGATATATGAATGCATTACTTAGTGACAGCAGTCTTCATTGTTGCTGTAACCTGAGGACTGTAAGGGTGATTAAGTGGAAAGAGTTGAGTACCAAGTAAGGATTATGAGGGGATGGAAAGATGCTGTGGGTGGGCACTGGGAAACAGGATGGGTAGCAAGTGGGTGCTGGGAAATTGGGGCAGTGTGGCACTATGGAGATCCCTGAACAAGCAGTCGTATGTTGAAGATTACCTGTATAAACAATATTACACATGTTTCTAAATATAATATTTAAGGAGCTTTCTAACCCAGCTTTTTTTTGTGTACAAAAGCCAAGACTACTTTGGATATGTTTTGTGCATCTGTCTGAATTATGTTTCATTAATTTTGGGGCTTCCCACTAATTGTGTTATAAACCAGATGCTCGTTAAGCAGACATATCAAAAGTGTTTTAAATTAAAAACAGATTTATATGCTATGACTCTTAGTTTAATCGAACTACCAAAAGTAACTATCAACTAACACAATATGGTTTTCAAATAAACCACAGGTACATTAAAAAATCTGGATTTGTGATTTAATATTTTCATCTTCATTAAAAAAACAAAAATGAAATAACAATTGGCTCACCAACCATAACTTCAAATACTTCGGTTTTCTACAATTACATAATGATTAAAACTTTTCTAACATACCCTTTGAGGGAAGGAATACTATAGAATATGTTTGCAAGGTGTATTTTGCACATGAAGGTTTTAAGGAAGCCAAACTGAGAAAGCAAGGCCAATCTCCTGAACTTTTTGGTCTATACAGCTGTCCCTCTTTCCAAATTCTGTTTAATTTCTGCAGTGTATTTCCCATAGAACCTCTCAGCCTTCTTATTGAACTTGGCATTCCGCTCATTAATGTAGTCAATATCTGCATCGTCATTGTAAGAACGTCTCCGGCTGTATTTTTCACGTTTTTGAATTCTGAAAGAGAAACCGAAATACTCAGTCTATGTTCGTATATATATATCTTGAATTCATATTTTAATGAGGTACCGGGTGTTTTTCATTTGAAGACAGTAATATAATTTTTTTTCCTTGTATATTCAGCTAATGGAGTCAAGGGGAATAAAAAACTCCATTAATCCACTCCAAAGCAAATCAATCTCTGGGTTCTATAGTTAATATAATTACTTAGAATCATTTAAAAGGGGCAAAGCCTTGTCTGATAATTATATTATTTGGAAAATAAATAGGAAAGAAAATGAGATGGACTCTTAAGTACAAAGTGCTTAAATAATGCAATCTGAAATAAAACTTCAGCAGGAGGTCTATGATAAACACATATACAAGATGCTTAATAAATTTAAACGTGCAGTTCCTTATGAATATGGCACTCACTGTTTTTCAAGATCTGAAACCATTTTGTCAACGCCTTCTTTGGAGGGCACATGAGTTCCATGGAGTAAACTATTTGAAGTTGGAAAAAAATCTTCGCCACTGAAGGAGAAAATGAATGTTAACAGTAACATTTTTGTGAAATTTCTCTAGCTCAGGAATTTGGGACAAAAAAATATTAATCTTACCCATTACAGTAGTGCTGATTAAGAGTCTGTACTCTAATTCCATATCTGTAATCTTCAACTTTTCTCATTCTCTTTAACCAAAATTGAACCAAGTAGATGGAACTTTACCCCTCTACTTTAATGCCAGCTGTGCAAATTAGTAGTCAAGGTAGTCCTTGACTTAGGACTGGTCATTTAGTGTCTGTTCAAAATTATAATGTAGCCTGAAAAAGCTTATACCCAGATTTATCAACCTCACACGCACACGTCACATTTTGGGCCACCCAGCTGCATTTATGGTCGTTTGCAGAGTCTTCTTGTCATGGGGCCATGATTTATATTTTTGCCAGAAACCACTATTTCTAATTTGCAGCAAAAAACATAACGAACAATGGGTTTGCTTAATGACTGCGGCATTCAAAATGCAATGTGCACAATCACATTACAACCATCATGCCTTATGATCAAAATTGCAGGCTCAATTACCTTCCTAAGTCATGTGTTCTAATTCATATGCCTTTGGAAATGATCTCATTTGTAAATATTCGTTCTAGATCCTTCTACCACATCATCATCATCATCAACCTGTGAAAAAAATTACTTGCCTTTCTTCTCTTAATTTTTCATACTTTTCCAGATCAGGTTTAATTTGCTTGGTCAACCGCTGATACTGACGTAATTGAGCAGCTGCATAGTCTATGGAGCAAAGAAATTAGCTTAATGAACAATAAACTTACTAAATAGGGCAACCTTATCTCAACAATATTGTTATTCCCCTGCCACCACAATGATAAATAAATTTGTGTAACCTTTTTCTTAGGAATAAGATGAAGAATATTTAAAAGATGAAATCACGGCAACTGGACCAAGTTTATTAAACAGAGATGTTTTGTTACTCATCCAAGTAAGTTCTTCAGTCAAAATGATTTTTTGGGGGGTTAGGTTAGGCACAGAGTCAGAAAGTCCTTGGAATGTACTAACTCTGCCAGATTGACTGCTGCGGGATTTCTCAAAATGAAATGCAATATGTAAATAATGCTCTTCATTTACATAATGCATTTCATTTTGAGAAGAAACTCCTTGCAGTCAGTATGGGAGAGTTAGTACGTTCCAACTTTCTGACACTATACCTAACCAAAAATTTTTCATTTTGATTAAAGAAGTTACTTGGATGAGTAACGAAATCTCTCGGCTTAATAAACTTTGGTCCAGTTGCCATGATTTAACCTCTTTAGATACTTTTGGCCTGCATGATTGAGTCTTCATTTACATACAGAAGAATAAATAATAAATAAAGATGTTTTGATGGACAAGTATCTCTGACAATCTTCCCACTTTGGCTGTGTAACCACAATCAATTCTGAAAATGTTTTATGATCCCCTTCCAATTTTTTTATGACCCACAGGGCCAAATACTATAGAACAGTGATGGCTAACCTTTTCGGCATTGACTGCCCAAAGCGCACACTCATGCATCCCCAAAATGCAATACACACGTGTTCCCCATGTGGCTCACATCCATGGCGGAGATCCAAAGACCAGCTGGCAGTGGGGAGGTGTGCATGCGCGGTGGAGCTGAGCTGGGTGACGGCTTGCGTGTCCACAGAGAGGGCGCTGCGTGCCACCTCTGGCACGCTTGCCATAGGTTTGCCATCATGGCTATAGAAGAACCCGTTATGGGCCATGGCGTACAACATGTATTTGAAAACAGTAAGGATCATTCCCCCTACCTGAAAACCCAAGATCAGGATTTCTCTTCTTCTTTTTCCTCTCAAAGCGTTCTGCATCTTCTGCACTTACTTCTAGCAGCTTTACTCTCTCATAATCTTCCCCTTTCAGTAGGCATTCCTAGTATATAGTAAACTCATGTTAATAATTTAAAACACAGATCCTCAAAACAACATTCCTCTATGAGCTAAAATTTATATTTTACATTTCCTTATAAAATTAGTCTTCAGCTAAATTATACATGATCTGCTGATGATTTCTCTTTCTGATATCCATAATTCCAACCTCTTTTGACAGTGTTCTAGATTAGAACCTCCTGACAAAAGGAATGAATTATGAAACCCCTTGTTTAAATCCTGCCTAATTCAAAGACTCACTGAGTGGCCTGTTGCAAGCATATGGCACAAAAGAATAAGTTTCCTTGAAATCGCAAATGCATGCTAATGTTATATTAGAAATTCTAAAAAATATTATGCGAACTGTGGTTTTACTCGTTTGGCGAAGGGTTATGAAATCTCATTTTTTGGAACAGAATTTTGGTCTTTCAGAAGCTACGTTTGGCCCTTCCACTTAAAACATAAAAATATCTTTGATAGAATTATTTTGAGAGTTATTAATGTATATCACATATTTTGTGCACTAATGCAGGACTATATTTGGATGCCAGTATTTTCCAGTAACGGTGCAAGTATTGTATCCAGGGGTGGGATGCAAATATTTTTACTACCAGTTCTGTGGGCGTGGCTAGATGGGTGTGGCCATGTGACTGGGTGGGTGTGGCTTCTTTTTTTGCAACACACACATACACTCCATTTTTGGGGCTCCTGGGGCCTCAGGAAAGCCTCCTGGGTGAAACAGTAAGACAGAGAGGGGGATCCCGGCACACAGCTGATCGTCAGAACAACTGATCATCAGGAGGGGAAAAAAAAACTTGAGTGACTGGGCGGGGGAGAATGCAATCAGCGATGTTGGGCATGTGCGTGATGTGCAAGATAAGGGCTAACTAGATGGGGAGGGGAGGGCGAAGCCAGCCAGGGGCATGATTTGCTGTTTCTCCAAACTGCAGAATCATAGCAACCGGTTCTATAGAACCATCCTAACCAGCAGAATCCCACCTGATTGTATCTATCATTGCTCATTTCTAATATAACCCAGTGAAAAAACAGTAACCGTAGGGACTTCTTCTAATGTTTTTTTTGCTTGTTTACCTTTTTCTTTTCTTCCACTTTGAGTTCCCATTCTAAGCGAGCCTTTTTTGCTTCCCAGTTGGTTGGTAACTTCAGCCTTTTATCTTCTTCTACAACTTCCTGATGATTTAACTTACGGGCTTCGTTCTTTTAAAAATAAACAAGAGATAACATCTCCCATTTAGCAGCGATTGATAAATTAGAAAACAGAAACAAATCGGGGATAAGCAGCAAAAAAATTAAGAAAGTTACAAACTTCACCAATTGTAAGAAAAACTCTACCAGTGAATTCTTGTGGCAATGCGAATAAAAATTGAAAAGCAGATCCTGCAGCTGAGGCTTATTAATCTGCTTATTGGTGGGCTGTTACTGCACAATAGTAATTGTTCTGGCTCTTACTGTCATTTAATACAACAAGCATTCCCCAGGCGAAGAACATGGTGATTGAAGAACAACCCTTAAAGGCTACCTACTACTGAAGATGGTGAGTGATGTTCTCCTTGAGCTGATTAATTGCTAAAATTATGTGTTTTTTAAATACAGCCTGAAATTTTCAGTGGTTCCTGAAAGTGGAGGTTCAATGATTCATTGGCTCCGGGAAGGATAACTCCATCTGCCATTTTTTAGTAGCAGGCAATCGGTTTGTAAGTACAAGTTCTGATTTAAGAATTTAAATAAGAGTTAAAGATGAATTTAGGAGCTCTTTCTTCACTCAGGCACTACTTGTAACATCATTCCTCAGCTTTGGCAATATAAAAACATTCATTTATCGCTGGTAATTCCAAGGACCTCAGATTACCTCTAATTATGGAGTTGTTCTTAAGATATTGACAATGTATTTCCAAAAATATGAGGTCAGGTCTTGTTTCCTATTATTTTCATTTTCAGGAATCCTGAAAAGATGCAGGCATGTAGTTTCTCAGAAGATCAGTTTCCATGGCTGAGTCCTACTCCCAGTATTAAGACTGTACAAAATAGTTATTTTATTTTTTATTTATTTATTTATCCCATTTATATGGATGCCTACATCAACAAGTGACTTTTGGCAGCAAACAGAATTAAAATAAAAAGTATTACAAATTTTATGTCCTATACTACTAATCTTTTTTCTTCTCGCCCTCTCCAGGCTATTTTCTATCTTGCATGCTAAACTGTTGCTCCATAAATCTTGTACACTGTGCTATATAATTTAATTAAGTCTTAAAAGGGCATGGCCCAGTAGATTTATTGTTCTGGGATTTGAATCCAAAAGTCACAAAGTAAACTTACCCTTTTCAAATGAAGCTCTCGGAATTTTCTAAGCCGTTCTTCTCTCTTTTGGGCAGCAGCTTCTTCAGCTGTCATCAGACTGTCTGAAGTGTTGGAAACCATCTGGAATATGTTTTTTAAAAAATAATAATCTGGGATTGAGATAAAGGGTTATACAATACACTATGTATAAAAAGCAGTTTCACAATCAGGATCACCTACTAAATAAAATACTAAACATTTTTGTTACCATACTGATTTTAGCCAAATTCCTTTTAATTGACAGAGCCCATTTGTTATGGGATTGGTTCTATTGCTTCTTGCATTTTAGCCCATGGTTGGCATACAGGCCTGACACTTTTAGGATCTGACTTGGTAGATACATGGGATTTTCACTGCTGTTATTGTCTATTTGTACTCATCTAAAACCATGACCAAGATGTGTCTAATTTTGTCACTCAGGATCTGATACCTAATTTTGTATTTTCTAAGAGATCAAAAAGTTTAAGACAGAGGCTTTTGAAGTATAATTACTGTCTTGAACTTTAGCAATATAGTACCAAGAGAAAATGAAAATACTTTCATAGTAAATTCTCTCTATCCATTACAATTAAAATACAGAAAGTGATCAAGGATGATGGAGTGGTTCGTCAAAACCTAAGAAAAAACCAATTATCCTTTCTCACTCTCAACAATACAATGTTAATGATTATATAATATGTGTATATATCTATGTAATATATAATGTTAACAATATAAGGGGAAATAGGTCAGCCAGCAGTAGGATTACAGGTCTCCAAACCTAGCAACTTTAAGACTTATGGACTTCAACTCCCAGAATTCTCCAGCCAGCATTCTCCAGTCCACAAGTCTTAAAGTTGCCAAGTTTGGGGACCCCTGAGTAAGATGGCTAGATTCAGTTACAGTGAGGATGAAGTGAACCATTGGGAGTCTTGAAAGGACAGATTACAGACCAATCATGGATAAAATCTATGCAGTTGCTAGAAGTCAAAAACAACCTGATGGGTCCCAATCAACAAATCAATGGGCAAAATATCTCAACATGCAAGAGGAGAAGGGATGAGGCTACATGTAAAAAGGCTTTCCTCAACCGATTCCTAAATACAGGAGAAATGGAACTAAACTGATAATTTGTAGAATATTTTAAATTTACACTTTCAGCATCTACCTATCCACTCTACAGTATTAACAAAACAAAAAGAATGAGATTCTCTTTTTTTATCCCACTTTTGCACCATTAACTCTTCCCATCACCTGCTTTGACCGGTCTCTTTTCTACAAAGATCGAAAATTTTTATCTTTTAAAATTTAAAAGATAAAAATCCCGAAAAAATCCCTTTCAAGAGGCAGCCAGGCAGCCACCTCGGTGATCCCTGGCTAACAGGTGCCATACGCCAAATAAAAATAAAATCTACTAAGATTAAGTTGTCTTCTAGGCATTGCTGAATTGCAGCTCACAGCAAGGCCGCTGGGGATGTTGGGAGTTGTAGTTCAGCCCAGGTTTACCATCCCTGGCAACCGATTCAGAGCAGCCAAACCAAATCCCTTACTTCCCAAAATACAAGCAACCTTTCCCAACGCGGCACCTCGGGCTGTGCTTGGACAGAAGCTTTCGGTTGCAGTCCGGTGGCCAGATTGCCCTACAACGATCTCCTATCACTCTTCTAGCAACGCTCATCTCTCACCGTCCCATCCTCAGAGGCTCCTGTATCCACAGTAGTCGCCATCTTCTCCTCGTCGCGGTAAACATCCAACACTTCCTGTTTCCGACTTCCGCCTCGTGATGTCATAGAGGACGCGAATGAAAACAGACCTCTGTCCCTCGGGGTGGGGGGTGGGGCGAAATCGTTGACATTCGAGCAAGGCTCTATGTTTGGAGAAACCATCGAGATGCGTGCGCGAGCGGCTGCCATAGTGTTGGGAGGAGGGGGAGGGAATTGAGCTGCAGCGCTTAAGAGGCCAGGCGGGGAATTACAATTTACCAAAGGTAATAAACGTGAAGGAGGTACGTCAGAAAACAAACAAGGTTGAGGTAACATTTATCTCTTGGGAGCGAGTTTCTGTTATTTTGCAGAAACTTTCGAGGTTTCCGCTGCGCATTAAAGAGAGCTAAAGCCAGGGTTGACAAAAGAAAGAGAAACCTAACATCCTTTATTTGCTAATTTCTTTAATGTGCTGTTTCTCAACCTCAGCAAGTTTAAGATAGGTTCCAGATTTCCCCAGCCAGCATGTGAGATTTATTTCTTCCAGGAGCTCAAGGTGGTTTATGTTGGGAAACAAATCATAGTTTAATAGAATGCATATATCCATTTCCTACCCACTAACCATTTCTCTCTTTCAGAAGGTTAACCAATATCTTTAATATTCATGAGGTCAAAAATATTTCTCTTTGGTTAAACGTCCTACAGTAGATTAATAACCAAACAGTAAAATCCAAAAAAAATCATTTTACCTGAGCTGCAGTTATTAAAATATCTCCTTATTTTCCAAGGCAGTGTTTTACATTTAATCCTATCAAGCACAAGTGTGTTCATTGTTTTAATAGTGGAAATCAGAATTACACCTTTCAGTCTTGCAGAATGAATTCAGACTTGTCAAAAACTTGGCATACTTAATTCAGATTTTAATATTAATAGAAATCCATTCTGTCTTTGCACCAAGCTATATTGGTCAAACGATGGCAGTATAGTTCTAAATATTCATCTGGAGAACTAATGAAAGGAAACACCGCTCTCTAAATATACCCAAAGAAATTGTATTTTTCTTTTCCTCCACTTCACCTTTACAAATCCAAGCTAACACACCTTGGAGTAAAATGCTTCGGCAACTATGTATTTTCATTAGAAGCTAAGTTGAGGGAAACACTGAACTAAATAACTTTTCATTTCTTAAATGCAGAGTTTGCAAGGAGCTACGGGGAATGTTTATCTTTCACTCACACACACCTTCACAATTTATTTGGGTACACATAGTCCTCAATTTATGACCACAATTGGGATCAGAATTTTCATTGCTAAGTAAGGTAGTTGCTAAGTGAATAGCACCTGATTTTATGATGATTTTTTTCACCAGTTGTTTGCAGTTGTTAAGTGAATCATATGGTTGTTAAGCAAATCCAACTTCCCCCTTGACTTTGCTTGTCAGAAGCCAGCAGACAACATCACAAGTGGCAATCACTTGGCCCCAGGACACCATAATACTTGTAAATACATACCAGTTGCCAAGCACTCTAATTTTGATCACAAGTGGGGATGCTACTTTGTAACTTTGAACAATCACTAAAGTTTACATTAAGAAAAATATATGAAGTTAAAAACTCTACATTCATGTAGCAATATGAATGTTTACAAAATTTCACTTTCATCTTCAATTCTATGTCATTTCTCCTGGATAAAAATTATTTTAAGAAATTACTTTGAGATCACGTTACCAAATACTGTAATAAAAAGGAAATTGTTAGCTGATAAGGGGGGTGTTCCTCACCTAAGTTATTGTTTAGGCCAATCCTGCCTTCACATTGTCTTCACTCTGAAAATATAAAAAAGAGGTGAAACAGCATAACACGGGCTAGTTTGTTCACTGCTTTGAAACTATTAAGAAATATGTTGCTAAAACCTGCTACATTAACATTCACACATTATTTTCTTTGTTGAGGATCTAAAAATGACCTGGAAATTTCATTTCCAACCAGGCGAGCAATTTCTGTCTAATTTGCTGTTTTTTCATTAAGGAGAAATTGACTCCAAGTTAAATTTCCTTGCATGAAGGAATAAAATATTGTAGATTATCTTGTACTGCCCTCTACTGCTTGCTATCAACCACTGATAATTAACTTAATTATTTAATACATGCTGGTCATGTATTGTGAATCAGCCACTTCCTTGTGTTCAAGATAAAAAATATTTTCCACAACATTAGTTGTTGTCTAATGCAGTATTTTTTCAACCTTAGGAGTTTCAAGATGTGAGGACTTCAACTCTCTGAATTCCTTGTTGGCTGGGAAAACACTGAGAACTGAAGTCGATGCATCTTTAAGTAGCCAAGGCTGAAAAACATTGGCTTAAGGCAGGGGTGTCAAACTCGCATCATCACGGCAGCATCATGCGATGTATCGGGACTTTTCCCCCATTCACTAAACTAGGTGGGGGTGGGGCCAGCACGTGATGCATCCGGACCGCAGGCCATGTGTTTGACACCCCTGGCTTAAGGCATTGCTTAAGTACTTTAAGGCATTTTGCATTAAAATGTGTGGACTTCAATTGCTGGCTGGTTGGGGAATTCTGGGAATTGAAACCCACACATTTCAAAGTTGCTGAAATTGAAAAATTCCACTTTGAGATAGTGTTTTGGATTTTATTTTAGCTACATTGTATGAATTCAACCATGGTAATTGATAAGACATGGTTTACAGCTTGATGCAATGTATACATGCATCAAGCTATGAACCATGTGGCAGAACTGTGGCAAGAAAGGTCGTAAAATGGGCAAAACAACTATCTTAGCAACAGAAACATGGATCTCAATTGTGGTTGTAATCTGAGGGCTACCTGTGCATTAGTTGGGCTTTGTGTTGTGGGGTTCGTGCAATACTGCTAAGACTAGGGCAACTGGCTGAGATTGCAGAAATTGAATTGCCTATCAGAGAACAGCAGAGAGATTTAGAAACCTCCAAGTTTTTGCTCCCATCTAGTGGTAACCCTAACTACAATTTTTCAAAACCCAGAGGCATATAATTGTTTGATTGGGGAGCTAGAAGTACCTGACTAATGTGCTTAACAGAAATTAACCTGGTTAGAGCAGTACTCTGTTGAAAATGAAAGAGTGCTAAGGATCAAAATCAATTCCTTGACAGCCAAATTAGTGCAAGGCTGGCTTTAAATTTCATCTAAATATCCTTAAAATGATAATCCTAATTGCATTATATTCAAGTCCCTGATCAGATAGTTCAGATGATGATAAAGTGGTTGCACTGAGAGGTGGATAAGAAAGCCAGAAGGGACATCTGAATTATTCCAATAAAATCTTTCATTCATGTATAAAATGGATAGAGGTCTTCTCCTTAGATGTTGCCCAAATCGGTGTCCTACACAGCAGCCCATTATTGCCTGCTTGATAAATCACAGTTCAACAAAACCAAGGCTTATTGTGTGATATATGAAAGTAGGCATTGGTCCTTGTTTTGACTGAAGTAGTTTATGGGCTAATTCTTGTATAGATTGTCCTTGTTTTACAATCATTCATTTAGCGATTGCTGGAAGTTACAAAGCACTGAAAAAAAGTAACTTATGACTGGTTCTTATGCTTACGACCACTGTAACATCCCCATGGTCACATGATCAAAATCCAGGCACTTGGCAACCACCATGTTGTAGTGTCCCAGGCTCACATGACATTTAAGACCTTCTCAGCTGGCTTCCAACAAGCAAAGTCAATGGGGGAAAATGGAATGACTTACTAAAGGTGTGCTTCTCTTAATTGCAGTGATTCACTTAACAATCACTAGGCAAAAAAGATCATGGAATTGGGTGTGACGAACACCCACCTTGCTTAGTAATGGAAATTCTGGTCCCAATGGGGGTTTTAAGTCAAGGACTATCTTTAAATAGCCAGATAGGACCAGAGGTGGCATTCAGCAGGTTCTGACCAGTTCTAGAGAACTGGTAGCAGAAATTTTGACTAGTTCAGAGAACTGGCAAAAACCACCTCTGATTCCACACAGTTTCTTCTTTCAGAAGTGTGAGTAGAGCAGTCTAGAGTTGCAACAGGTAACTAATAAAAACTAAAGGGGAAAAGAGGCCCTACAATTATTACATCCAGAATTTACAATGACCAAACTGTATCCTGGGTTGAATTGCAATGCCTATCAAAAAAGCCATTTGGATCAGGATCTTAGTACAATTCCCATTAAAATATTGGAACAAATCCTTCTTTCCTTCCTTTCTTCCTTGAAATACAGCTTTTAGAAATAAGATCAGGCTTCATATTTTGCATTCCGGCATCTTCCAATTTAAGAAGGCATTTTCAAAAGAAGAAGAGAATAAATTTGCAGAATTAAGGAGTCCACAAACTAAAAAAAAAGATATTTTCATCGAATACACAGGGTCATATAAAATGCACCCTTAGGTGGGTTTAAGAGTCTGACAATGCTTTGCCACTTTCCAATATCCCTTGGATATTTAGCAACTGGTCAAATCTATCAAACCTTTATTAAGGGATAAATTTGATACGGGCTCTATAAAGATACAAGTTTATGCTGGGTTTATATGAGGCATTGTTGTTGCTAAGATGCTAGATGCAAATCACTGTAGTTTCCAAGTTTGATTCCATTTACTTAGAAGACTCCAAAATGAATGAGAGTCAATAGATAGCTGGTTGACCTTAAGTCAGAGGTGGGCAACGGTGGCAACTATGGACTTCAACTCCCAGAATTCCAGAGCCAGCATGGCTCAAGAATTCTGGGAGTTGAAGTCCACAGGTCATGAAGTTGTTGACCCCTGCCCCCAGTATAACTAGGGGCATATGTGCTCCCTCTGCTTCAACTGTTTCAGAAATAACGTCCATCCATTCTCTTAAAGAAGGAAAATTCAGCCAGCAGGATTCCCATGGAGCTCTCCCTGGTCCTGTTTCCTGATGATTTCTGTGCCAAAGAGCTTCTGACTGGGTTTTGTCTTTCCCTCTTGTTGCTTCTCTGGCTTGGAGCCCTGCCTTGACTCAACTTTTGGACCCGATTGACACAACCCAGATCAGCATTTATTCTGTTTCCACTGCCAGACACA